TCGTTCGTTGTTGTTGTGCATGTTCAGTGATGTTCTCGCATTCTGATGTTTTTATATTTTTTCGTTTTTATTGCAAGTCGGCCGTAGTTGTGCACACCCTATATATTTTCTGATGTATGTATGTATGTATGTATGATTTGTTCATATACCTACTTACTTGTCTAATACTAAGTTTTGCTGATTATGTAATTTTCTTAGAACACAAGTATATGTAAGTAAATACAGTTGTTCGAAGTAATGCCATGATGCCTGGCGATTAAAATATTTTATTTATAGATTCCCACACCAGGGTTGTGCGATGGGTTTGGRATCCGCCTAAAAACATTACCAATGCAATGATGAAAATAGAATCAGATTAGATACTCTTTTTTTTCATGCAAGCCCAACGATAGGAACTTAAGTGTGCTTTGCCCAATTCAATTTGAAAAATCAACAACTCACCATATATTGCGAATGCGTCAAATCTTGGAAAAGAGCCGTGAAGACAGGATCGACACACACTACCATACCAAAAGCTCCGTCAGGATCGGGAAGGACCTCTCTGAGCCGTTCGATACCAAAAGAGGTTTCAGACAAGACGACTCCGCGCCGTTAGTWCTGCTTCCTCCAGACTGGATAAGAAAGCGAAGCAAAAGGGTCTGGTAGTGACTTAGGGATTCGAATTCGTAGATAACTTCGTCTATCTTGGAACGTCATGTCGTCCGAATGGATGTAAARCTCCAGTTCTGAAAGTATTTGACGCAGTACTCGCTAGGGGAGGTATAAGAAGAAGAAGAACTTATCATAAGACTCTCTTAAAGCGGTAAAGCGACAAAATGCTGTGAGCCTATCATACATTTGTTAAAACGGCTGAAGTCAGTTTATATATATGTATGTAGCTAGACTGCCRAGATGTTTAAACCTCAGTCTAACAATGGGAAAAAAGTGTCTGGATGCCTTCATCTTGCACTCCCTCAAACWACTTTTCCAACTTGCGTTCCACAAGCCTTACCACATGCCTATGGGACAATGTCCAKTCAAAACCGATAGGATGCGGAAAGATGAATTTTGCTAAGGCAAAGTTCGCACGCGAGATTCATTGATACAGTGCTAGAACGCAAGATGCCAATGGAGATTCTACCAGTTCCATTTCCGATGTCAGCGGAGTAAGAGTATCCTCTCTGGCTGGCACATCATCTTTGCAGTTACCGACGATTCGGCTATGACCGGACACCCAATCCAGTCTGATGACGATATAGCTCCTAGTGATGTGATTTCTAGTGAGGACAGACATTCTTTGACTAGCTTTGAGTGCCCAGTTAGCGCGCTAACTGAATCGGAATACAATTTTCCATAGGTTGGATCAAAATTTTTTATGTTCCTTTGATGTTTGATCTACATATGTCAATTGGTGTGTATCACAAGAATTATTACCATGAAAAAAATGAACACAGAATTTGAACTTTTGTGCTTCCAATGGAATCCTGGTTACTGAGTTCATGAAAATGTTGCAAAAGTATTTTGGGGAGTCACGAACACAATTATTTAAGTTGCGCAGAGCATACAGTGAAGGTCGAGAAGTTATCGATAACTTGCCTCATGCGAGTTTTCTATCATCCTCTCTTAATGACGATAACATYGAAAAGGTTAAGGACACAGTACTTGAAAACTGTCGTGTTGGCATCAGMAAAATCTYAACATCTTTTACGGATAGACTAAACACATTTTGGTTAATGTTTTGGGTATGAAGGTTGTCGCTTGTACGAGTAGCAAAAAATCTGCATCTTTTGCAGTGACGCCTTCGAGTAGTGGTTGCAAATAGGTGCTTCACAACGTAGCTGAGAAACCTATATTCCTCAAAGGCAACATTCCTGTTGACGAGATGTAGGTTTATGAGCGAGTTATATAGCGTCGAAACTGTTMAAAAATCTAGTGAATACCGCTTAAAAAATGTGTCGAAACCGAAAAAAAACAAAATGTKTACAATATAGTTCATGCAGTCCGGGCCAAATTTGATCACATGTGTTATAACATTTATTGTAGTGAATCTTTTGATGTGTCTTTGAGCTTTGTAAGTAACAAAAACAAAATACATTATACTCGTATTATATAATGCAAATAGAATGCAGCGACGCAAAAGAGAACACATTAAGTAACTAAACTCTGTTTTACCTAAGCCACTAACTAAAACCGCAAAGCAGATTACACAACTGCTTTACAAGTACTTGAAACMTATTAGATATAGCCGTAGCAATTATGTACATATGTAAACTAACAGGAACTAGAGCTGTGTGTCAGTTGCAATACAAATATTAMTACTTGCCACAAACATGACTACAGACATGCCACTTGATACTCCTACATGAGTGCCTACAATTTATAGACACACACAAACAAACGACGACATGTGTATGTATGCGTAATTCATAGTCGTGTAAGGCAATTTTTCATTTGACACATCGTTAACAATTGGTGGCAAATCGCTGACAATTGCATACGGTTCCAGTGCGGAAAATCTAGTTTAGTAGAATAATTTGTATTGCGCTGCACTCACATACACATATACATTCATATGTATACATGCATGTATGTACATAGAGCTTGCCTACACTTTCAATTGTTGCACTGTGCGGTGCGTGTGTGCCAATGGCAGTGGCACTAGTGACGCACTTGCAACATTTTCAACATTTGTCACATTTGCAACATTTTGCGTTGGTGTGTTGCTGCAGTTCGTCTAGCTGAGGAGTAGAGTATTATGTCAATTGYTGTTGTTTGTATGCTGTGGCATAAAAATAAATTGAAACGTGGCAGGTTGGCTCACAATTCATCTCAAGTGATGGACGGCTGAATTGATTATAATGAATGTGAGAATGACAGCCGACAATTGAGCAAGTGAGTGAGTGATTGAGTGAAATACATCTGTGTGTGCTATGTGTACAGATGTGTGCAAACAGAGCTAATGAAATTGAAAATGGAATTGAGAATGAAAAGTGATGAAAATTGAAATTAGAATAAATGATGGAATAGAATAAATTAATGCATAGATGCTCACACATGTGTATGTATGTATGTGTAGGTGAGTTAATGAATGATAGACAGCTAGAATAAGTAACTTGTGTGGCATGTGCCTTTGTTAAAAAGGCAACAATCTTGGCATATAAATGTTTATGTGAGGTCCTGATAAGTCACTACTATTATATTATGATTTTTCCTCGAAAAACTTTAAATGCTACTTTCTGAAAACTGACAATCTTTTAGTGTAAAACAAAAATCCAGAAACTACTAAAAATCCTTTATTTCGTTGACTTCRGCTGCAGTAAAACTATAATACGCTTCAGAGGTGAAAAATAACTAAATCAGAGATTGTAGCGTTGCCTTGAACAATGAGCTATAACAAATTTTTGTGACGATATTTTATCAAAAGAAAAAAAAATCAATACAAAGACTTTTTTTGAGCGATCAGTTTATATGAGAGATATATGCTAGAGTTATCCGATGTGCGCAACACGTTCGAGATTTTTGGGCACTTTCTTCATTAAAAATATTTGCTAAATTTTGTGAAGATATCTTTTCAAATGAAAAAGTCTTCCATACAAATGCTTTTGATATGCTAGGGTGGTTCGATATCGGCGTTTTCGACAAATGAGTAGAATTTTGGGTTGTAAAGACGCTTTTATGAATTCAAATTGAGATCTCAAAAACTCTGAAGGACTAGTTCCAACGGCTCACGACTTCCGGTCTTAGACCATGTATCCTCTGGGTAGCCAAAAAACATCAGTTTGAAGGCGAGCTAAAGTGAGAAGGCGAACCATCCCTCCTCCGRGTTGTGCGCTGGGTTTGGAATCYACTACRTAAAAACTCTACCAGTTAAAAGAYGGAAACAKCCTCGGATGAGAGAYCCTTTTGRTGACAAYCAYAATTAGGAAGGARTAAAGRCTAACAAGAAATGTGATGGACGTGACAAGGACTGAGGCGAGTAGGTCCATRTGRCATTTACTACRGTGGTCACATACTTGTATAGGAGCGCAAATTGCGTGWGGGATTCGTGGTGGTAGRGAGACTCCGTCACCGAGTATTGGCATTCACACCGGCGGATGAACGTCTAGCCACAATCCGCATCAATGAGAAGTTCTTCAACATATCCCTGATTTGGGCCTACGCCACGACGCAAAATAAGGATGATATGGCCAAAGATGTCTTCTATGGGCGCTTAGAACGCACCTATGAGAGCTGCCCCCGCCACTATGTTAAAGTCATGCTTGGCGATTTTAACACTATTCATCCTCCATGAGGAAGCTTCCCCAAATAATACTAAATTTCAGAACAGAATAAATCATCTAGCTGTCACCAACTCGAAAAGCCACCAACCAGATCGATCATGTTGTGATAGACGGAAAACATGTCTCCAGKGTTTTAGACGTGCTTACACTCAGAGGTCTTAAAATTTATTCGGACCAAACACAACGAAGGTTCGACGTCGAAAAGCTGTAATCACTGCACTCCTGCTCTMTGAGAGCACTCATCAGCCACTTGGAATAAGGGAACTATGGATTGCATTTGAAGCTCCTTATGTACACCTGCAAACGAAACCATTGCTTTTCAGAAAATGCAAAAGAACAGCTGGTACAATGAGGAGTGCCGTGGGGCAGCGGAGAGAAAACAGACTGCCTACCTCACAACGTTACAATCGACCACAACACGAGCGGGATGGGATAGATACCGAGAGTTGACGAGAAAAACGACAAAAAAAAAAAAAAACAAAAAGTGAGAGGCCGAAAGCCGTGCGTATGAGGAGCTTGACATTCTGTCTTCTTTTGTTCATAATTCACAATAATTTAGAATTTTTTGCTGTGAGGAATTAGGTTTTGAATCCGTCTAACAACCACTATGAAATATGAACGCTTGAAAATATTCCGAAAGCCAACAAACTGTCCTCGTATTTACATAGATCTAGTTTATAAAATCATATTCTATTTATATATGTTCTATATATGTTTATTGAGTGTTGGTAATTACCTTATTTGCATAAAAAGCACTTCATCACTATTGGCGTTTTATTGTTATCATTGTTGTAGTTATGTGGCACAATTGTTATTCATTTAACTGAAATATAATAAAAGAAAATACTGATTAGTTTCAATTGGTATTGTATAATATAAGTTGAGTACTTATGTAAGATAAGTTTTCGTATACAATTTCTAAATATTTATGCCATTCTAATATAGATGAAGAGAACAAAATATAATAGTAAACCATTCTGAACATAAAATCATTTTTGAAAGGAAAAGTGTTCTAAGAAGAKCTCAGAAGAAATAAAATATAGCAGGTGGGCCAAGTAGACGTAGTTTTTTGAATATGGATAAATCATAATTATAATACTATTTAAAAAATAAATGCCAATGAATGTTCCTTCGAATGATAATAAACAGTCGCCATTCAATTCGAAGTTTCTATGTTTTTCCTTAAGAAAAGTAGGAAACCTCGAAATGGATCACCCTCTACCATAACTAGCTGAGACAAGGGTTAATATGTTTTTATATGAGAGCAAAGGTTATGGTGTTAAAAGTTTTTATGATTCTCTGGGCTTACCCCACAAGTCACTTTTTGAATTAAATACAAGTATATCTAATTATATAACTCTTTTATATCTACTCCAAAAAATGACGAAGAAATATGGAGCATTTATTTTTAAACGTCCTGCACTTGCTTGCAACACTGCAATATTTATGTAAACGCCTTCACCGGACGAGCATAAAATAGATGAGCTGTCTGAGTGTGGGGAAAACTGGGTCAACAAATTTTAAAAATAGAAAATTACTGTTGGCATGAGCCTAAGGCCATTTACAAGGCAATTCAAATATTTTGGTGAAATAAAAACACAAATTAATTAAGAAAATGCATTAAAAGGTGTGCAGGTGAAAGTTTATTTTGGACGTGAAATTTGTGGTAGGCTACAAAATAATACTGTAAAATACAAGGACAACAAACCGTATCTTAAACCTTGTACCGTTTTATTATATAATTGTTACGAAACTCGAAAGAATAACATGAAAAGGACTATTCGCAAAAAATTCACTACTTAAAAACTAACTTAAAGCCAATATTTTTTTTATCACAGAACGACTTTTCACTTAAATTAGAGACTTCACATGGAGAGCATAAAATTGGCAAGAATAAAGTATAACCTAGAAGAGATCAATAGACATGTATATTAGAATCTAGTARTAGGAGTTACTTTAGCAGACGGAAAATGAAAAATTTCATTCGCTGCATTCTGCATTTGGAATCTCCAATTTTTTTAAGGATTTCAAAGATTTTTCTACTTTCCCATCTTTCGATCATGCYATAGTATCTTCGGTGATTTTGTTGGGGTTGAAGAGCTGAAGTTCGTTCCGCTTATATAGCCTCGAATATCGTGGGAACGTGTTAATATTCCGCTTACAAAAGTCGGGTACTTCGGTTTCGGGTTCGGTCAATTTTTTGTACCAAAACGTGGGTATGGAAAAATGAGAGTATTCATTGAAAAATTTTGTATTTATTTATATGTTTGTGTCAATTTTAAATATACATTTGTAATACTATGTTCAGACCGACATTGAAAACATTTTGAAAACACATTTGTATGTTGTGGAATCTGAGTCGTTCTTACCGACAATGTGTGTTTTCGATGAGTTTTCACTGACATTTATCAAAAGCGGCATTCTCTTGCTCTTGCAAGATTGCACGATGACACAAAATACGAAAATCCTATACCGAAATTATGCAAGGCCAAGAGAGCACCCATTGCAGAATSTAGTGATATAGTTATGACGGCACGAAAAGAAACATGGGTTTTGGTCTAACATATTGTGCAGCCATTGCAATTAATTTTCTGCGTGTGTTTTTTGTTGTGCCGTTGCACCAAAGGAAAAATTCTGCAATTTYTGTACGTTGCAAGGTTTTGCAAGACTAAGAGAATCCTCCTAATATGAGAATATCAAGCGACAGCTGTAWTTGTATGTGGAATGTAARCAAATATCAAGTATAACGAGTGGAATGCAAGTTTTSAAGTAGTTTTCAGCGAAAACTGTGTTTTCGTTTGACAGATTTTACATGGACGAARACACAAGTTTTCGTGCGAAAGCCTGTTTTTCCCAAAAAAACATGTTCCCACGAAAACATGTTTTCGTTRTCGGTTCGAACATAGAATAAATGAGATATTATCACGCTTGTGATATGAAGGAATATGCATTCATTTCAGCCGACTGAGGATGTACTTTGCGGAGGAAACTTTTCAAAGATTACATGGAACCGGAGCGGCAACAATAACGGCGGCACTGGCGCAATGCGTCACGCTTCATTTGCTTAG